TCACAGATAGCGAGCTCCCAGCCCGGACAGAGGCAGCAGCAGCGGGGATGTCCCGAGGCACGGCGCTCCCGAGAGCGGTTCTGAGGAAAGGCGCTGACAAGCGCCGCTTCCCTGCGGCCTCAACACCGGGGCCGGGCTGGCGAGACACCTGTGGGCGCCGCACCGTGCTCGGTGAACGGGCCCTGCCAGCCCACCGCGGCCGAGCCCCGGAGCTGCCCGGCCGGCGCAGGCTGGCAGCCAGGGCTCCTCAGCGGGCTCGCTCTCACGCTGTCCCAGCACTGCGAGCACGGGTGGCTTCTACAACCCTCCCTGACTCCGAGTCACTTCATTGACAAGACACCCCCTTCCCAACCCCAGAGCCCTTTCTAGGTCAGCCTCACCTCTCTTTCCTTCCCCTCCGCAGCACCCCCTTCCTTCTCTCCGGTTCCGGCGGGCAGCCGCTGTCCCGCGCCTCCGCCCCGCTCGTCTGAGGGCAGGGAGACGGCAGCGCCGGCGAGGCCGAGCCCGTCCCGCCGCCCTGGGCCAGCGCCGGCGCCGGCGCCCGCCCCTCCTGCCCGGGCCCGCCCTCCCGCTCGTGGCACCTGCGGCACCCGCGGCCGTGCCCGGCTGGGGCGGTGGCACTGCCCGCGGCCGGGCGAGCTGCGGGTCGGCTGTCAGCGGGCACTGCTCTGAGGCAGCAGCTCCACAGCGGACAGTGGCTGCTTCACACGAAGCTCACGCAGGGAGTGTCGGCTTGATTTGACGAGCTGCCTTGAGGGACAATGAGAAGCATTTCACTTTACCTGGCGATGGGCAGCCCGAGAAGTGTGAACATACGCCCCTGTTTGAGTAAAGATACGGGCCGCGATAGCAGAGGTTTCAGTCATCTGTTTGTTCAGGAAGCCGCTCTAAGTGCTTTTCTGTTTAATTAGTGGCACAAAATACACATGCCGCCATTTCGTGGGGTGTTTCAGCAGGACCTTCCCTCAGCAGCCGGCCACCACGGCGATTTCTGAAGCCGGAGTGCCCCTGCGAGCAGGGTGAAAGCACCGAGCCTGCGGAGGGCTGGTGTGCTGGTATTTTCTCCTTACGCACACTCTTCTCACAGTCTTGATCTAACAGGTTTAATTCTAGCTTGGGGCAGCTGAAGGATTTCAGCGTCTGGCGTGCCCGGGAGCGGGGCCGCTGTGCCCTGAGGGCAGCCCTGCTGTCACCTGCCCAGGGCTGCCGCCCGGAGCGCTGGCTCGGCTCTCGCTCGCAGCAGCTCCAGTTCAAATTACACCCCCACTATGTTCCCAGCCTGAGTCCATTCACTCCCCAAATCCTACACCGTCAGCCCTGGCTTCCTGCTAACAATAAATTCTTATTTTTCATTTCCTTCTCAAACTTTGATATGGTGAGACAATTTTTAGAGAAAATTTAGTCTTCATAGCATCGGTGTAAAGCCTTGGTCAATTACATGTCTTTTCAATTTCATGCATTTGATACTCGGCTCTTCCTTTTTGATGACAAAATAAGGGACTAGAGCATGCTTTTCATGCACTATGCAGTAAAATTCTGGCTTAATAAGCCTTTAATAAGGCTTACATTCAGCTCACAAGGATCAGAGTGAATTGGAGACCTTGTGAAAGATTAAAAGTCGCTTTCTCCCCTCAATAATTTTCATTCAATCACCTCTCATCTACATATCCTGTTTATTCACCCCAATGCAGCATACTAAGCTGTATCTATTCAAACCCACACTGAAGTGCTGTTCAGCGCAGACCGAGAAACATCACTTAATTAGAAGTGATGCGAAGCCCTTTTGACACTCTTCGTAGATGGAGCATACTTTTCTCCTGTGTAAAATACCTCTTTCCCCTGTTCCGAAAAAAGGGAAGGTGTGAGTAAAACAGTGGTTCAGGACCAGGCACGCTGTATCAGCTGGCAGCTGTGGCTGCGCTTGACCCCTGCTGGATGCACTTGGAACTGAGGTCTGGTGTACCCACTGCCCAAAACAATTCCCCCTCTAATCAAGGACTTTGGACCCAAGCTTAGGAGAAAGCAGCTCCTTGCTGCTAAATGGCAGGGGTCTCCAGCACTGTGAGAAGTGACTGCTGAGAAACTGCATATGTGGTGTGTGCTGTGTCTGTTAAAATACATAGGTGAGCTCTCCTGCTCAAATTTAGTGATGTGTTCTGAAAATGGATTCATGTGAAATCTGTGGGATATGTGTGTAAGGACTGTCTCAGCTCAGACCAGTGGCCAGTTGATATCTTCATAAAGAAAAAACAGAAAATATCTGAATGACCCTCAGAACATGGAATACCTGAAGAACCCTCAGACGCATTCCTCAGTAACTGCAGATGGAAAATGTCTGCACCCAGTATCCAGCCTGTCTCCACAGCTACTCTGCAGTGGTTCAGAAAATTTGAAGAATTTACTCATTTTATGTAAGCTCAGAACAGCTGTTTTTCAAGTGAATTGCGCCTGAACACTCTCAAGGTGGCAGCAAGAGAACAAACATTAGTCACAGAAGGGTATACTCGGCCCACCCTCCTCTTTGTGTTCCCCAGACACAGTCACAGACCTGTTGAGTTCTCAGCACAATCAAAAGATTTAAGCATGGTTTTGATTGCAGTGCAACAAAGAGTGTTATGGCATCTGCAGGAAAAAGACCCAAACCAATGAAGTCTTCAGGTATCTTTGTGTAGTAGTATTGCTGTCAGATTCAGAACGTGGATCACCTTTCTTCCTTCACCCCCTCATTCAGCATGTCTATTTCTCTCGTGATTTCCCAAAGTAAAAAGGAAGTAATGCCATCTTTTTCCAATTATGAAAAATTTAGTGAGTGCCTTGGTGTAGTTAAAAAATGACAGGTATTAGTTGAAGAGACAGTAGCTTCCACTGAAGCAAATCGAGCTGCTAATGCTTTCCTTTCTCCAGTTTCCTCCTGTCACTCAACTGCCTTTGACACTGAGCTGCTCTCTGAACTAACCCAAATCACAGCTAACTCTGATGTTCTTCATTTAATGGCTGTAGTGGCATTTTCCAGGTGGCTTTGACCACATCATCTCTTGCTTTTCATCCTTCAGTTGGCTCCTGGGCATCAAGGTAACTTTTTCCTTATTTTAAAATCTTCCATGCTCATAGGTTATGCCATTAAAAGTTCTCTATATGCAGAAAGGGAGGCAGAGCAATAATGGTGAGTGGAGTAGCTTGAGAAATACCCTGCTTGGCTGCCCCCAAGTCCACCACAGGAGCTCTTAGTCCATCAAAGATCCCTCTCTTCACACATGAAGGAGTGCAGAGTCTTTAAAAAGTAAGCTTTCAAAAATATTTTAGAATTATTTAGAATTTATTTTAAAATATTACAAGAAAATGTATACCAGAAGTAAGAGTGTGGATAATTTATATTACCCTATACGGTGCTCTCTGTGGTAAGAAAAAGACTGGCTTGATAATAATTATCATGAAAGGAATGGTTTCAAAGATCAAATGTGCATGACTAGGGCCTGATTGTTTTCCTTCTCTTTTGCCCCCAAACAAAACAAATTTAATCCTGCTGCCAGTGACCAGGGCATCTTTAAATTTATTGTCTTACTCAGCATGGCTACAGATCTCTGCCTGTAGGACTAAAAGCATTTTGTCCTTACTTTAATGAACATGTCTTAATTACAGAGACTGTTCTACTATGTCAAACAGGACTTGCCAACAGAAAACACAAATTCCCACAGGGATGGCCAGGAATTATGAACAAAGTAGCTAAATGTGAATGCTCATTATGGAGAAAAAGCAGCTATGGGGAGACCTCATTGCAGCCTTCCAGTCCCTAGAGGGGGCTTATAAAAAAGAGGGAGAGTGACTTTTTTTTTATACAGGCAGATAGTTATGGGACGAGGGTGAATGGTTTTAAACTAAGAGAGAGAGCCCAGAGACGTTGTGGATGCCCCACAAAGTTTTGAAGGCCAGGATGGATGGGGCCCTGAGCAAACTGAACTAGTGATATCTCTGCCCATGGCAGGAGGTGAGATGATCTTTAAGGTCCCTTCCAACAAGCCTTTCTATGATTCTGTGTTGCCCAAGAATGCAGACAGCAGCACTTTTGTGATTGACAATTTATTCCTGTGGTTGAGTTCAGCTCCCAGGATTATGTGGCTCAGGCACTGATATTCTGTGAAGGAAGGAAATTATGAGAGCCTGTGCAAAATCTATTGCAGACCACTGGCCAGGAGAAGAGAAGCAGAAGTAGTCCAGGATCAGACTCCAACCTTCCTTTCCACCCTCCTGAGCCCTGTCCCCACGCTGGCCATGGCCTTTTGCTCTGATGTGGAGCAAAGGGGTCACAGGCCACAGAGTTCGGCTGTTGTTTCTGCAGTACAGGAGCCATCCAAGGCTCCATCGCAGTGCCTTGGCCTGAGGGAGCTGGTTCCTGAGAGAGCAGCTCTGCGGCGATGGGTGGCCCAGCTCACATTCGGGGTGGGACCGTCCCGGTAGGGAGCTGGGACACGCTCTCCTTCTTGACGAGAGCTACAACTTCAGGATTTCAGCCTGGCACCGCATTTGGGCGAAGGCCAGCCCGTCCAGTAGGGAGCTGGGACACGCTCTACTTCTTGACGAACTTCAGGATTTCAGCCTGGCACCGCATTTGGGCGAAGGCCAGCCCGTCCCACCAGCCCTTTTTCCCGGTGCCTGTCGTTTCCCGGGGCAGCGGGCACCGGCGGGCCCTGCGGCGCTCGGCCCCGTCGCGATGGCGACCGGCGGGCGGGGCGCGCG